ACGAATCCTTCTTCGGGTTTGTCTGCTTTCGTGCTTAAAAGACGGCAGAATAAAGTTTCACTGTTATATTCAATATTTACACATGAACCATACTCAGTACATCTGAGTTGGCATAATTTGATGCCAATGTTCTGAAACGAAGCAATTACACCTGTCGATACGTCTTTTGCCGGTAGCTTGCAGCTTGAAAATTCCAATGCCATGAAGGCTATAAGCGCAAAGGAGGCTGTCCAGAAATGATCTTGAATCCCCATTCTGATTTCCGAGGAATAGGACTTAAATAAATGTTGCTCGCGCGACTTCTGGAGTTATTGTTCAGAGAACATCAAATCAGAGACTGAAAGGCGTGGATATGTCACGTTACTACCAATCAATATACCAAGGTGAAACTGATACTACGTGCTGTCATTTGAGTGGAACCTGTAGAAGTCACATTTAGAAACACATTCCAAATGTGGTAATATTTATTGTCTGAAAGAGTAGGTTTTACAGCTGGATCTGTCCTCTCAGGATCGTCTACCATGAAGGCAACGTGTCCTACCTGACAAGTGGAATGTTTACATGTAAAACAAAGTACGATTTTCTACAAACAAGACGTTACAAAATGGTATTAATACCAGAATGTTACTGTATGGAGAAAACTAGTGCAAGAGATGACTGCTGGTACTATGGCACTATGCAAACACTCTACTAATGCCTGGCTGTATCTGCAACCAAAGATCCTTTTTCTCGATAAAATCGGTAGATTAGTGGATAGATTACTCATCTTGTGCAGTCAAAATATCTCCCGACTCCACTGCTGTCAGAATAAATGACATTGAGCAAGTGAGGTCCAAGGAAATAATAATTTTTAATTAGATTTGTTATTTGGTCAAATGTAAAAGGCCACAGTGTGAAAAAAAATACATACAAATTTCGATGATGTGTTGCATGCGGTATTTTGATACCATGATCTGCAGGTAAAGCGTTGTACAATGTTTGCATTTAATAATATGTGCAACTTCGTATTTGTATATACCCTCCCTACTCTACACTTTGCAGCACCTGCTTGATAAGTGTGTTGGAATCTACAGGAAGGAAAGAAGTTGTTCATCCATATATCTTATCTTAACTTAGTACTCCCACGTCTATGTTCATCCTAGAGAAGTGTTTAAGTGATGGCTAATATTAAGCATTCCTGATCTAACTTCAGCTACTAGTGCTCTATATCCCGTTTTTAAATTGTATCAATAATAAAGGTAATAATGACGAAACAAGACATCCAGAGTCTAGACTGGCAGACCAGAAGGATCATGTCTGATAACAGCCCACCACCCTCGATCCTTTCTTAATCGTGTATAATAAGTTCTGGAGGTCCGGGTTTGATTAATGTGGAGGCTCTTCATGATATAATTTTATTGTGTACTTTTGCACATATTTATTTATCGGATGATCCTCTGGTGATGCATGTGAAGACTCATGATGAAAGTGAGGCATTTCACAGCTATTTTAAGCGTGCCCAGCTTGTTGGACAGAATCTGAAAGTTGAGGTTGATTTTGCTGAGGGCGATGTTCTACTGGACGGTACAGCGATGGAAGTAATCCAGGTGAAGTCCTTCACCAAGTTTGCAAAGAGTCGGTCATTTGTAGAGAAACTTTCTGAGAAACCATTGCATCGTGTGTACATGCAATGTGTGGAACAGAATAGCAATCCAACTGACTCCTTCGCCTGGATGAAGTCCGCTGGTCTTAAATGGGAAACGCTTTCTTTTTGCTGCTCAGCACCAGTCACTTTCCATCTGAGTTTTCTCAACATTCAGGTTTCGGGATTTGAATCCCGAATCTGAATATTTTGTTCATATTCGGGATTCGAATCCCGAATGTGAATATATATTCAGATATTCGGGATTCAAATCCCGAAACCCGATTGTTTTAAAACAGCTAAATTTGAGGTTCAAATATTGGAAACTGTAGTTTGGTTGTTTATGTTTTTAAGTTACCCAGGTACACAACGAGCACCTAGTACATTAGAAGGGGGATGAAATAATGAATATTGACCTTGTTCGTCTTTGCTTGGTCGTGATCGAGGGTTGACGCTTGCAAGCAGGGAAGAGCTCCTGGACCGTTGACTATCTGCACGGCAACGTCGAGGATAGATAGGTTTGACAGATGAAGGTGCAAAGAGTATAGTTACAAGGACGCTGAAGTTCCGAATTCCAGATGTGTTGAAGAAATGCATAATAAGAGCTCAAATACCAAATACCCAATGCCCAGTGCCGAATGTGCAAAAGAAAAAACCCGAATATGAATGAAAATTCAGATTCGGGATTCGAATCCCCAATCCCGAATCCGTTTCTAACTTCATGTCGCTGGACCTCAGTATGGTGATCTAACGTCAGTTGTTGACAATGGGTAGCTTGATAAATGTTGAATTGTCAGAAGTTTCCGTTTTACATGCTAGTTTTACATCTGTATCTGTGATTTTCTGGTGAGAGAGTTTAGTTTTACGCCGCACTCAGCAATATTCCAGCAATATGGCGGCGGTCTGTAAATAATCGAGTCTGGACCAGACAATCCAGTAATCAACAGCATGAGCATCGATCTGCACAATTGGGAACCGATGATATATGTCAACCAAGTCAACGAGCCTGACCACCCGATCCCGTTTGTCGCCTCTTACGACGAGCATGGGTTACTGAAGGCGCATTCTAACCCGGACCTTCACGTAAATAAAAACACGCAAACATCCAGTCACTTTTATAACTATAACGAGAGACATCTTACAAATATTTTGATTATTGTTCTTTCGCTTATTAATAACTTTGTTTATTATGAAATGAAATATTACATGTGTCACTTGGAGCCCAAATATTACGCAATACATATGACAACATCTGGAACAACAACTTTTATCCCCCATCTCTTCACTCAAATTAAAGTCCTAATAAAATGCAGAGTTAAGTAAACAGAATTAATATTTTGTGATGAAGTGCGAAAATTTAAATCTTCACTAAAGATAAGTTTAAATACATTTGCTTACCTTTATACATATACGTCCACTACCTTGACTGGAGTTGTGGTATATTGCGTGCAATGAAAACGTGAACATTAATCAATGCTTTCATGTCGGAGGGTCCTTACAAACGTAACAGATGGTGTGTGTTTGACAAAGGCATAACAAGCTCTCATTAAATATACTGGTTGGTTGGTTGGTGTGTAGAGCCGCACTCAGCGATATTCCAGCTATATGGCGGCGATCTGTAAATAATCGAGTCTGCACCAAACAAGCCAGTGATCAACAGCATAAGCATTGATCTTCGCAATTGGGATGCGAATAGCAGCGAGCCTGACCACCCAATCCTGTTAGTCGACTCTAAGATAAGCATGGGTTGCTGAAGAGCACTTCTAATCCGGATCTTCACGGGAACTAAACTGACCGGAAGGGGCATCGTTGTGGTTAAAGCGTTAGCTCGTCACGCGGAATACCCGAGTTCATTCCCCACGTGGTCGCATTGTAGGAAACCCATTTCTGGTGTGTTATAAGGTAAAAATGCATTCCAAGTTCATTAGAAAATCACATCAGATTCCTATTTAGATTTAATACAATAATTAATTCACAATAGATATCCTGACATATCGACAACATCCGTCGCATGGCACCACTACGGGGACAGAAACTGGATGGAATCAATCAATAGTTTTTTTCAGAAAGCGGTCAAATGTAACATGTTATGTTTGGGGTTACACGTACTCAGTAAAGTACAGATTCTTTTAAACTACACGAGGAAAAGAAATAATAGAAAAATAAAAAATAAAAAACCCATAAATATATAAAAAATAAAAAAAAATATATAAAAGAAATAAGCAAAGACATATCACTCGCTCTCTCATTTATAACCATGCATTCACTACCATAACATTGAACTAATCACTTACAAGTTTTACATACATTGCCCATTTGCTTTCGGATTCATTGAACTTTGATTCATTGCAATATCTGGCTTTTCCTACAAGATAATAATACTTTAATTCTTTCCTGAAATGTGACCCGTGAAGGTCCGGGTTAGAATGTGCCTTCAGTAACCCATGCTTGTCGTAAGAGGCGACTATAACGGGATCGGGTGGTCAGGCTCGCTGACATGGTTGACACATGTCATAGGTTCCCAATTGCGTAGATCGATGCTCATGCTGTTGATAACTTGATTGTTTGGTCCAGACCCAATTATATACAGACCGCCGCCATATATTATATAGCTGCTGTATTGCTGAGTGCGGCGTTAACAACAAAACAACAAAACATATCGTAGCTATGATACGGGCATGCATATACACGCATATAGTTTTCAAAGTATTTGTTTAAACGGAATGACCACAACACATAATCTCAAAGTTCTATAAAACACATGGGGTCCATCACTGCGAGAGTGATGCGTCTTATGGCCAGCACACAATGTTTGCGATCCACTCAGCTACCGTAGCTTCCACCAAAAAAGGAAGTGTGATAACTGATGGGCATCCCTGCACACGCACACGCACACGCGCGCGCACGCACACGCACACACACACACACACACACACACACACACACACACACACACACACACACACACACACACACCCCTCTTGATCCGTCTACGTAGTTCGTAATTCAACAAAATCATATACTGTCAATTTACTACACAAATTTTAGCTGCTGACGAGTCTGTCCGAACAGCGTTGCTGACAGTAAATGCTTGCTTTTCAAAAAGTGTGTTTCGGGATGTGTGCGCATCTCCCCCTAAGCACATTCTACGTGTGAGTTATTATTAAATGACATGAACCACATATATATTATAAAAAGAGGAGATTGTGCTAATCCTACAGTTTTTCGGTTCATCTTTTCAGTCATCTCAAAATGAGCAAGTTTGATCTCGAGTTATCTCCCTTTAGATGTCTCTAGAAGTGAGGTGTGTTTGTGTTAACTTCCTGTGACGTGCCGAGTTTTGTTTTGATGATTCGTGTTTTCGTTTGTCGATGTACTAGAACACGTATTATAAGGTGAACAGCGTCGATAGTGACTGCACCGTGGTCAAATACGGTCTCGCACCATGGGAGATGTTGGCGGAGATGGGAATCCTCATCCAGAAGTTTTACGAAATGAAAATCCAGCTTTAGTCACCAACGTGTTTTCTACAGGTATTTTGCTAGACTAACATGTCGTCTCAGTAATGAACGCATCCAAGACTTGCATGGGATTTCTTGGATATATTTGAATCATGGTCTGTGTGACAGACTAGCATTTTGCCTGTCATGTACTTTGGCTAGGACGGGGGAATGGCTTGGCATTGGGGTGAGAGGGTGGTCATCCACCAAAATGACAGCTTTGTTGTGGAGGGTAATACATCCCCCCCCAAAAAAAACAACAACAAAACACCAAACCAAAAACCACAAAACAAAACTACTCATAATTACGGATGGTCTGGAGGAAATGAACATGTTTATAAGTGCTTTATCATACATTGTCTTCCACTATGGGTCCTGAAAAAAGTTACCCATGAAGGTCCGGGTTAGAATATCGATCTTCAGTAACCTATGCTTGTCGTAAGAGGTGACTAACTGGAACGGGTGGTCAGGCTCGCTGACTTGGTTGACACATGTCATTGGTTATCAATTGCGCAGATCGATGCTCCTGCTGTTGATCACTGGATTGTCTGGTCCAGACTCGATTATTTTCAAACATATATAGCTGGAATATTGCTGAGTGCGGTGTAAAACTAAACACACACACAGTCCTGAAAAGAGTATATAACAGAGGCCCAGATGAGCTGCGTATCAGGGTAAAATGCGCATAGAAAATTTTCAGTTACACACTGAAATATAATTGTTGCATACCAATTACTCATTTAAAATGTTAGATACGCAAAGAGTTTAAAACAAATGGTTACGGAAAATATTTATGAAAATCGGTTGCGTAATGAAAAAGACATCGATTGCTATCAAGTTGTACTGTTAGTATAGGACTAGTGTTGTACTGTCAGTATAGGATGAGTGATTTTTGTGAAATTATTTCCATTATATTTAAGTTGGTTTTGATTAGGTATGATGACATAAGGCAAAACATACCTGCTTAGTAAACTTACTCAATGACATAATACTCAGGTGAGTGAAATGACTGAAATACGCACATATTTGAAAGCAGTGGGTAACGGAAAATGAAATACCCACTCAACATTCATAATACCCACTCCAGAAAATACAGTGGGTACAGTACCCACATGAGCTAAATCTTATCTGGAGCTCTGTGTAACATAGGGAGGTTCATTCAAATATAGATCATGCGTTACAGAAAGATAATTATTCTTGGTGCATTAGTTGGAGTGAAACAGGCCTGGTCTTAAAAGAGGAATTATTTCACTATAGCACTCCCACTGCCTTGTTATAATATTTCCAACCTGGCCCACACTGGGCTTAAGTCCCACTCCCTGGGTCTTAGGGAGCCGACACCATTTTACTAGCAAACACCCTTTACCATCCTTAGGGATCTAGACCACCTCCGTGGTGTAGTGGTTAGAGCGTCCGCCGAGAGCCGGAAGGTCGCTGGTTCCATCCCCGGCGTCATACCAAAAGACGTTAAAATATGGTACTTGTTGGTCCCTGCCTGGCGCTTGGCATTAATGGGTACAACAAGGACTGGTCGGCTCGAGTCAGTATAATGTGTCTGAGTGGGGTATTCATGCTTCACTGCGGCATGGTATCTCAGTGGGCTGGCACTATAAAACCAGCTTCAGTCTTGGCTAGTACAAGCAGCCGCACATACATATACACCGCGCATGCACGCCGTCATATAAGCGAAATATTCTCAAGCACGACGTTAAACCCAATTTCACCTCACCTCACCTTAGGGATCTGACACATCTTTACAGGCAAACACCCCTTTACGATCCAATTGAATTGATACTGTTTTACTTGCAAACACCCTTTTATGATCCTTTTAAGTCGACAATTTTTTTATACCAAATAGGGCTGCATATTGCCCTGATTCTCATATTGTGATATATTGCAATAATTTAAGGGAATTGCAATACATATTGTGATATATTGACTGGAAGGTTTCTGTCCAAGTGCGTACATAAAAAATTCATAGTAGCTCTCTGTGTGTGACATCATCTTCTTAGTTGCTGTTACACCATACTATCAGGCTCCCCGTCCCCATTGTGTATGGCTGTATGCCAATGGTTTACAGATAAATAGAATGATATAGAGCCTGTTTAATTGAAGTATTGTATTACAACAACGTTTTGCGAACATAATGATAAAGGTCAAAGTATAACATGATTTTCATGGTCAGTGTTGTTTGCTTCAACCGAATGCACTTCAATGCAGTATGTAATTATTGTTACGGTATGTCAGTGATTCATTCAGATTCAACTCCAGTGTAAACTATTGCAAACTGAAACAAAAACATGATTTAGGTGAACTACTTCAGCTTACAATCTCACGTGACCTCCAATAACTAACATCCTTGACTAGAATGTCATTATACAGTCCTACAAGATTTATAAGACTTTGGCCTTTATGATAAATTCATAACATACCAGGATTTTCCGAAAGCCGCCCAGGGCTGTACAAAGGAAATTTGGGGAAAAATGGACCATATATGAAACAAACAAAAATAACAAAACAATGTGAATTGTGAAATGGTCACTCAGAGCCAGAGCCTCTACAAATAAGTCCAAATAAAAGATTGGTCAAATCTTTGAAGGGCATTTAAAAGTTGAATGCATAAGAAAAGCAAGATTTATAAGTGTCAACTTCTTTATCGTGAATAACCGACGTTTGGTGTATGCTTACTCCTTCATGACCTGATGAAGGAGCAAGCATACACTCAAACGTCATGTATTCACAACAAGATGTTGACATCTTGACAAACCATAAATCGTGCTTTTATTAAAAGATTGGTCCATTTGAGGCCACTTAATTCCTCCAAAACGTCACATATGAAACCATTCAAACCCACAAAACTTAAATCAGCCTGTAGAATATTTGGCACTTTAGGTGCCACTTATAAAGACACTTCCACTTGTAAAATGTTACATGAAACCAACAGAAATAAAAGTATATTTGGCACTTTCAGAGCACATTTTTAAGTTAAAGGGAGCTAACTCTGGATGTCCCAATATATTGCAGAACCCAAACCATATCGTGATAATCGTGATTAGAGATACTGTACTGGTATATACACAGCCCTACTACCAAACTTGTCTTTATCATCCTTGAGGAACTGACACATCTTTACTAGCAAACATCACTTTATCATCCTGCTGAGGGAATTAACATGTCTATACTATCAGGGCTCCAGATAATTTTTCATGATCAGGAGTACGTACTCCTTATTTTTTCAATATAGGAGTACTGGAAAACAGTAAAAGTTCATTTAGAGTACTGGATGGAATTTAATGGCGTATCAGTAATCTTGTGTTTCGTTTCATATATCCACCACAACATTGCTACTCTTGTGTAAACAGGTCAATAAACAATGGAACAATACTTTTTCAGATAAATACGTCTGTAAATGATTCTAAGACCGTACACCATTGCTGTGGTGCGTATCTGCAACGTTTTCTAAATTATTTCCTACCGTATTGTGCTTATTTTATATCCGTACATACGCCGATACGGCCCTTATCTGGAGCCCTGTACTATGTTGTGTCTCACACACACACACACACACCACACCCTACAAATTCTGATGTCTGTGGGCATGTGTTTCAGGTGTGGAGGTGATACAGACCTATGGCTGGTTCCTGCTTGCTGGTGTTCTACTCCTTCTCTACCTGCGGAAAAAGTTCCAGGCATCATGGGACAAGATGCAGAAATCTCGAGAGGAAGAGAGCTACAAGAAATACGGTAAGCTGACATTTTTGTTCATAGACCAAGTTTTAGTTCCAAGCCCTGTACAAGTCATCTAAAAATTATCGAATTAATGTTATGATAACTTCATCATGTTGTTTTTAATATAAATGTTTGATTTAGCAAAGGTGAACTGTAATGTGTTAGGGACCATTCATAATTTATGGTGGTGATGATTAAGGCTGTAATGATTCACTCGCATATTCGTTGAATCGAACCATATTGTGGTCACCAGAACCGAATATTAACCAATATTTACGATTCTTTTAAGATAGCATGTTTTACTTGAACCCTTATGTCCTTTTAGAGATAGGCAAGAATGGAACATGTACTAGCATTGCAGTAGAGCAAGTCATGTTAGTTTGCTAAGGCCGCACATGGTACTGTCATCTATAACTATTACATACCAAATTTGAGTGTCATGAGATCACTGGTTATTGCTGTGACAAATTGAACTGTCAACATGGGCGTTCCATTTTGTACTTCAATCATCTAACTACTAGTGTTGGGAATTGGTTGAAATCTCACAACTGATGATTGCTTCATTACCAACGAACAATCAGCGAAACAAAATTGGTTAGCGTCATTTTTCAGATTTTCCTATCCCAGTTGTTATTGCAGATATGTATAATATGATGCAATTGCTACTTAAAAGTGATGACTAATATATCATGAACATAAACATCCTAGAGTCTTTAAGAAATATTCAGTCATGACTTTTCAGTTTGTGAAGTGAGCTTTCTAAGAATTAAACAAGTTTTCAGGCCCTGACAACTTGGAAGATATGTTCATTCGTCAAGTGTTTCAAAGACTAAAACAGCAGTTCCAAAATCGTTTGTGTTCGATTATGAGAAAATGTGATCGATTGCTTGGTCGTTTGGTCACTGCCACCAATCTTCGATTATTTCAATTAATCGGGAACACCACTATTAACTACAGTATTGTATTCATGAATAATTAATCGTATTCGTTACCCAATATTCATGATACGTATCATATTTGCCACATAGTGTATTCGTTGCAGCCCTAGTGATGATGGTTCTTATGAAGAAGGGTGATGAAACTATGCATTTGGACTGTAATTTCATAATCTGTTGACTGATACTCTGGATGAGCAAAGGTCAAGTGACCTGTAGTGGTTGTACCAATATGTGTTGCAGTAGCAAGTACCAAAGTCTGATATTAAGGAGATTGCATTTAGGGGGGATCCACATTATGTCAGACCCGTGAAGGATCCAGGATAGAATAGGTCTTCAGCAACCCATGTGCTTGCCATAAAAGGCGACTATGCTTGTCATAAGAGGCTACTAACAGGTTGGGTCGTCAGTTTCGCTGACTTGGTTGACACATGTCATCGGTTCCCAATTGCACAGATCGATGCGCATGCTGTTGATCACTGGATTGTCTGGTCAAGACTCGATTATTTACAGACTGCCGCCATATAGCTGGAATGTTGCGGAGTGCGGCGTAAAACTAAACTCACTCACTCACTCCACATTATGTCCACTAAAATGAGTGAGTATGGTTTTATGCCACTCTTAGCAATATCCCAGCAATATCATCTTTCTGGGACACCAGAAATGGGCTTCACACATTGTACCCATGTAGGGAATCCGCTGATGATTACTGTTAAAGAAGTCTTGTATCTCTGTCGTAAAACTTTTGAACTGATTTTTACTCCAGATGTAGGTGTGGCTCAGAGCCGCCTTGAGGCCATGGAACAGTCTCGACAGCGTATGCAGGAACAGCTCAATGCCCAGGCAGAAGAATATGCAGAGAAACAGAGAAAGGTATGGGCCTTGTTTTACACCTAGGGATGCCAGGGCATTGTGCCTCTTTGTTTTGATTGTTGCTCATGTTTTGTTTACCCTTGTTTGCCTTGCACAAATCTCCTGGGAGACGTTATTATCTGTACTTGAAGATCACAGGCTGTTTTGTACAAATAGAGATACAGTGTCATTGATTGAATTTAACGTGTGCTAACATGTGAAATCCATTTTATATTTCACATCTGTTTCATTCGTGTCTGTCAAGAATGCAAATGTCTGTGTCTCAGTCATTGAGTTTAATACAATCAGTCACACACTGAAATGTTTTTGCTTGCTAAATATCTTTGCCTGGGGGTCGGTGGGGTAGCCCAGTGGTTAAAGCGTTGGCTCGTCACGCCGAAAGACCCGGGGTCGATTCCCCACATGGGTACAATGTGTGAAGCCCATTTGCTGGAATATTGCTAAAAGCAGCGTAAAACCAAACTCAGTCAGTCAGTCAGTCTTTGCCTGAGAAAGCTATATGATGGACAAATAAATAGAAAGTGGGGTTCATTTTTCGTGGTAATTTAAGTTTCAAACTTTACATTGTTTAAATTTGCAATTTAAAAAAAAATATTTTGACCATGTTCAATTTCCTAAATTGTGTGAAGTAACATGAAATCGATACAATGTAGATCTTCATTCATTTACAGTAATACTTCTCAAATAGTTCTTGTCGCAATTTAGCTGAAATATTGCTGATTGCAGTACGTGTAAAACTAAACTCACTCACTCAAATAGTTCTCACGTGGTAAAGATGCTCTAAACTGTTAACAAGGGCATTGATTTGTTAGGATTTCAATACGTTAAACCCAATCTCACCTCACTCTATTCCTTTTACTCACTGATACGGGCGGTGGGGTAGCCTAGTGGTGATTAGCATTTGCTCGTCACGCCGAAGACCCGGGTTCGATTCTCCACATGGGTACAAAGTGTGAAGCCCATTTTTGGTGTACCCGCCGTGATATTGCTGTAATATTGCTAAAAGCAGCATAAAACCGTACTCACTCACTGATTTTATTTTTTTGGGGTGACAGAAAGAGGAAGAAAAGAGGAAACAAAAGATTGAAGATTGGGATCGTCACTTAGAAGGAAAGGGCTACAGATCCAAGTATAAGCCGGTATGTTCAATATATCTGTCATTTGAAACCATTCATCAACAGTCAGAGACGTAATATGTACGTGAGACGCCTACCGTCTTTCATACGTGAGACAGCCTACCGTGTCTTGTATGTGAGACAGCCTACCGTGTCTTTTACGTGAGACAGCCTACCTTCTCTTGTATGTGAGACAGCCTACCGTGTCTTGTATGTGAGACAGCCTACTGTGTTTTGTACATGAGACAGCTTACCATCTCTTGTACGTGAGACTGCCTACTGTGTTTTGTACGTGAGACAGCCTACTGTGTTTTGTACGTGAGACAGCCTACCGTCTCTTGTATGTTGGACACCCTACTGTGTCTTGTACGTGAGACAGCCTACCGTGTCTTGTACGTGAGGCAGCCTACCGTCTCTTGTGCGTGAGACCGCCTACCGTGTCTTGTACGTGAGACAGCCTACCGTTGCTTGTACGTGAGACAGCCTACCGTCTCTTGTACATGAGACAGCCTGTGGTCTCTTGTATGAAAGTGAGCCTACCATCTCCTGTATGTGAAACAGCCTGCCATCTCTACCTATTACTTTCTCTGCTTGTTTGATTGATAGAGGACCACAAACTGGAGAAACGCAATGTTGTTGTTGCTCTTTTTGTTGTTGTGTGTTGATTTCCAGAGACACAAAGTTAACCCAGAAATCTGTATGTGAAACAAATGATTAAGAAATGTCCTACATTTAACAATTGTATTATACAATTTACTGAGAGGGGACTAACGGGATCGAGTGGACAGGTTTGCTGACTTGGTTGACACATTTCATTGTATCCCATTTGCGCAGATCGATGCTCATGCTGTTGATCACTGAAGTATCTGGTCCAGACTCGATTATTTACAGACTGACCCCATATAGCTGGAATATTGCCGAGTGCGGCGTAAAACTAAACTCATTCACTCACTACTTATCCACTTCAGATACTGTAACGGCTGGAATATATGTCTCGTAAAACTAAACTCACTCACTATGCAAATTAATATGTAATTACAATTTCCGCACTCAGAAGAATAGCAGTAAAACAATTGAATGGCAGAACAATTATAATGGCAGTATGAAATATGATAGCAGTGGTCAAGCTTACCACACATTAAAAAAATACAATAAAATTACAAGTTATTACAAGTTAGATCAACACAGACCCATGTAGATTTTGTTGGTTGATCTGTTGCTTAATGCCAACCTCACCAATATTTCCGCTATATGGAGGCACAGGGGTGGAAATAACTTTAAATTTGCTAATGTACTCCGGTACAGTGGCACATGTAAAATCACTTGCCCTGATCATTTTTCCACTGTACCGGCCGTTTTCTTGTTGATTTTTTAAAATAAACAACATAATTAACATTGGAAAGTCAACTGAACACCGGTACAGTGTGATATACAAATTTGCTTGCCCGACAGAAAAAAACACTGGACTCGGATGTCGGGCAATGGGTTATTTCCACCCCTGAGGCGGTTTGTAAATAATAGAGTCTAGACCAGACAGTCCAGTGATCAACAGCATGAGCATCGATCTGTAATATTTGTAAAATAAAGAGATAGAGGATTGTATAATTACACATGTATTTCTCAGATTGATTTGGATAATTCATTGGTCCGTTTATCCTTAAACTCAGCAATATTCCAGCCATATGGGTAGGGGTGGGCGATAATACTGGTTAACTGGTATATTGCAATTCCAACTTCACAATGCGATATATAGTGATATATTTTTCGCAACCCGGTTCACCCCGAAACGATCGGCAATATCCGTAACCATGATTGATAATTTTCGTGGTGTAAAAAATACTGATAACATTTGTGTTTCCTTTATATTATTATCAATTAATAGCTTTGAGAATGTTTATTGATCATATAACTGCGTTTATGTGACTTTTATACCATATATATAACAAATAAATAGATTGGTACAGCACTCGTTGTAGAGATAAACAAACCAAAATGGCGGCCGCCGCTGCAGATACTTTTTCTCCAGTTACAAAGCGAAGTCTTCAATTTGGAAACATTTTCAATTGATCTCTTGTACAAACGCATCGGACAGATTACACTGGCATTGTTTCAAAAGAAAGGAAACAGTAATTTCATCAGCTTAAACCAGGTGAGCACTTTCACAATATATTGTAATGCGCCAATACATATCCCAATATATCGCAATGCGAAACTTTTGGCAATACCCAACCCTACATAAGGCAGCGGCCTGTAAATCATGGAACCTACATCAGACAATCCAGTGATCAACAGCATGAGCATCAATCTATGCAATTGGGATACGATGACGTGTGTCTAATGACATCTCTCTCTCAGTGGGGCGGTGGGGAAGCCTTGTGGTTAAAGCGTTCGCTCATCACACTGAAGACCCGGGTTCGATTCCCCACATGGGTACAATGTGTGAAGCCCATTTCTGGTGTCTCCCCGCGGTGATGTTGCTGGAATATTGCTATAAGCGGCGTAAAACCAAATCTCTCAGTGTCTCTCTCTGGGTGCCAAATTTTCTAGTTTCCTTCATTCTGTTACAGCGGTTTTTTGACACAGATGAAACCTTGTAAAATACACATGGTAGAATATTCAAGGTCTCCTATCAATTATTGTAATACATTTTCCAAAATATTTTATGAATTTTAGGATGGCATAAAAAATAAAACTGAGCAAATAACAACATGCTGGTAATGACTTCCTTAATTGGTATGATGAAGAGGAACACCTTTTATGGATAGACAATACCCGCCATGTATATATTTCTCCTTGTGCATATGTTGTCTATCACTTGCTTGATAGTGATGTTAGGATCTACAGGGAAATGTCGCATCCACTGAAATTAGAATTTTTCTATCCATATAAAGTGTTCCACTTCATGCGGGTAATGCGTAGAACAGATATGGAAGGATAGCAATATATGGATGAACAACTTCTTTATTTGTGAGAGCGACGTTTCGGTGAAGGTCCTAAAACCGTTATCAAGCAAGTGATGTTAGAACCTACACCGAAACGTCGCTCTCAGAGCAATAAAGAAGTTGTTCATCCATATATTGTAATCCTTCATTACTGCCCCAACGTCTAAATGCCTCTCAAAGAAGTTAGAACAGCTATACCAATACGCAAACTGAACTGCCCAGAAAACTAACAAACCTAGAAATGCATGAATTTCCTATACATTTACCCATACATACCCATGTGCTCACGCCTCCGTGGTGTAGTGGTTAGAGCGTCCGCCCGGAGAGCGGAAGGTCGCGGGTTCGATCCTCGACCGCGTCATACCAAAAGACGTTAAAATATGGTACTTGTTCGTCCCTGCCTGGTGTTAGGCATTAATGGGTACAACAAGGACTGGTTGGCTCGGAGTCAGTATAATGTGTCTGAGTGGGGTATTCATGCTTCACTGCGGCATGGTATCTCAGTAGGCTAGCACTATAAAACCAGCTTAAGTCTGGGCTAGTACAAGCAGCCGCACATACACACGCATGCACGTCATCATATGAGCGAAATATTCTCAAGCACGACGTTAAACCCAATTTTACCTCTCCTCACCATGTGCTGACAGATGTTTCAGAAAATATTACAAAATTAAACTTGTGGACTAATCCATGCAAATTAGATGGGCATTAACTGGAGATTTCTGTTGGCGATGGCTGACTTTAGCATAAAAACGTTGCCAGGGTGAAAAGGCATGATGTTGTTTGTCCTTGAGAATATTTCCTCTGGGGTCACTGTGGTCTTACTATGAGAGTATGTTACCATGGTTACACAGAATCTTAACCATCTGTTTATTTCCTTCTACCGAAGACTTGCCAGTTGCTGTTCAAGGGAGATAACTGTTGAGACTCTATTGAAATGAACCCTTTGCTGTTGATTAAGTTGTCTAAGCTTTCTTGGCTTATTGTTGATCATTGCAGCTAGTCTGCCAAATGGAATACAACTTTGGTCTTTGACATCAGTCAATCTAATTTCCCTATGATGTAAATAATATTGAGTGAAATGTGTGTATCGGCGCTTTTTTGCAATATTCAAGCAACATCATGCGGGAACACGAGTAATGAGCTGTACACATTGTATCCATGCAGGGAGTTGAACCCAGGTCTCCGTGATGAGTGAAAGCTTTAACTACGAGACTCGACCGTTGCCCTGATCTAGGTAATATTTTTGAGTTGGAATAATGAAGAAAGTTTTCCCCCTTTCTTTTATGTTTCATTTTCTGAATTGCCACATGAAGTTATACTGTGTATTCGGAATATTCCTTTGCTCATAGGCATGTACAAAGCTACTCACTCTTCATGTTCCAAATGCTCTGCTTGCTCCTCGGTTTCCCAGTGCTCTGCATTCCCTTCAGTTTCCAATTGCTCTGCATTCCCTTCAGTTTCCAAGTGCTCTGCATTCTCTTCAGTTTCCAAGTGCTCTGCATTCTCTTCAGTTTCCAAATGCTCTGCATTCTCTTCAGTTTCCAAGTGCTCTGCATTCTCTTCAGTTTCTAAGTGCTCTGCATTCTCTTCAGTTTCCAAATGCTCTGCATTCTCTTCAGTTTCCAAGTGCTCTGCTTTCTCTTTAGTTTCCAGTGCTCTGCATTCTCTTCAGTTCCGAATGCTCTGCATCCTCTTCAGTTTCCAAGTGCTCTGCATTCTCTTCATTTTCCAAGTGCTTTGTATACTCTTTAGTTCCAAAATGCACTGCTCACTAATCCTCAACCCAGCAATTGTTTTTGTAGGCCTGTTACAAGTTTGGCAGGCCTGTTATCCATTACAGAATTCAAGTCACCCAAATCCTAGAAACATAATACCGACACATTGTAATCACTGACCCCAAGCTGTGTTGAGAGTTCCATAATCTATTTAGGACTGTCAAATCTACAGGTAAAACAGTTCTGGATTGAAAACACCGTCGTTTATCTACTAATTACTTGACACATCTGAGTATTTGCCCTTATATCCATCACCATCAGCTGTGAGACCATCACATAAAGTCTACTTCCAATCAACCCACTG